CCAAAACCTTGAAATGCAGGCGGTTCACTCTTGTTGGTGTTAGACTGGTGGCAGCTAATAAAACCCCTTTGCTCTACTGACGTCTAACTCCTGGTTAGCTCAGTTGGTGGAGCGCTCCGCTGGAAATGGAGAGGTCCCTGGTTCAATACCAGGAACAGGCGGAGTTTCTTCGGTCGCACACCACTCACTTCACTGTGTTTGGTGGTGTGTGTTTGTCCTTTGTCCCCATTGTTCCCCTTCTCCATGGTTTATTATCGTCATTCTTGTCTAGCTCGCTTGCAACTTTGCATTAATTTCATTATCACCAAAACCTTGAAATGCAGGCGGTTCACTCTTGTTGGTGTTAGACTGGTGGCAGCTAATAAAACCCCTTTGCTCTACTGACGTCTAACTCCTGGTTAGCTCAGTTGGTGGAGCGCTCCGCTGGAAATGGAGAGGTCCCTGGTTCAATACCAGGAACAGGCGGAGTTTCTTCGGTCGCACACCACTCACTTCACTGTGTTTGGTGGTGTGTGTTTGTCCTTTGTCCCCATTGTTCCCCTTCTCCATGGTTTATTATCGTCATTCTTGTCTAGCTCGCTTGCAACTTTGCATTAATTTCATTATCACCAAAACCTTGAAATGCAGGCGGTTCACTCTTGTTGGTGTTAGACTGGTGGCAGCTAATAAAACCCCTTTGCTCTACTGACGTCTAACTCCTGGTTAGCTCAGTTGGTGGAGCGCTCCGCTGGAAATGGAGAGGTCCCTGGTTCAATACCAGGAACAGGCGGAGTTTCTTCGGTCGCACACCACTCACTTCACTGTGTTTGGTGGTGTGTGTTTGTCCTTTGTCCCCATTGTTCCCCTTCTCCATGGTTTATTATCGTCATTCTTGTCTAGCTCGCTTGCAACTTTGCATTAATTTCATTATCACCAAAACCTTGAAATGCAGGCGGTTCACTCTTGTTGGTGTTAGACTGGTGGCAGCTAATAAAACCCCTTTGCTCTACTGACGTCTAACTCCTGGTTAACTCAGTTGGTGGAGCGCTCCGCTGGAAATGGAGAGGTCCCTGGTTCAATACCAGGAACAGGCGGAGTTTCTTCGGTCGCACACCACTCACTTCACTGTGTTTGGTGGTTTGTGTTTGTCCTTTGTCCCCATTGTTCCCCTTCTCCATGGTTTATTATCGTCATTCTTGTCTAGCTCGCTTGCAACTTTGCATTAATTTCATTATCACCAAAACCTTGAAATGCAGGCGGTTCACTCTTGTTGGTGTTAGACTGGTGGCAGCTAATAAAACCCCTTTGCTCTACTGACGTCTAACTCCTGGTTAGCTCAGTTGGTGGAGCGCTCCGCTGGAAATGGAGAGGTCCCTGGTTCAATACCAGGAACAGGCGGAGTTTCTTCGGTCGCACACCACTCACTTCACTGTGTTTGGTGGTGTGTGTTTGTCCTTTGTCCCCATTGTTCCCCTTCTCCATGGTTTATTATCGTCATTCTTGTCTAGCTCGCTTGCAACTTTGCATTAATTTCATTATCACCAAAACCTTGAAATGCAGGCGGTTCACTCTTGTTGGTGTTAGACTGGTGGCAGCTAATAAAACCCCTTTGCTCTACTGACGTCTAACTCCTGGTTAGCTCAGTTGGTGGAGCGCTCCGCTGGAAATGGAGAGGTCCCTGGTTCAATACCCGGAACAGGCGGAGTTTCTTCGGTCGCACACCACTCACTTCACTGTGTTTGGTGGTGTGTGTTTGTCCTTTGTCCCCATTGTTCCCCTTCTCCATGGTTTATTATCGTCATTCTTGTCTAGCTCGCTTGCAACTTTGCATTAATTTCATTATCACCAAAACCTTGAAATGCAGGCGGTTCACTCTTGTTGGTGTTAGACTGGTGGCAGCTAATAAAACCCCTTTGCTCTACTGACGTCTAACTCCTGGTTAGCTCAGTTGGTGGAGCGCTCCGCTGGAAATGGAGAGGTCCCTGGTTCAATACCAGGAACAGGCGGAGTTTCTTCGGTCGCACACCACTCACTTCACTGTGTTTGGTGGTGTGTGTTTGTCCTTTGTCCCCATTGTTCCCCTTCTCCATGGTTTATTATCGTCATTCTTGTCTAGCTCGCTTGCAACTTTGCATTAATTTCATTATCACCAAAACCTTGAAATGCAGGCGGTTCACTCTTGTTGGTGTTAGACTGGTGGCAGCTAATAAAACCCCTTTGCTCTACTGACGTCTAACTCCTGGTTAGCTCAGTTGGTGGAGCGCTCCGCTGGAAATGGAGAGGTCCCTGGTTCAATACCAGGAACAGGCGGAGTTTCTTCGGTCGCACACCACTCACTTCACTGTGTTTGGTGGTTTGTGTTTGTCCTTTGTCCCCATTGTTCCCCTTCTCCATGGTTTATTATCGTCATTCTTGTCTAGCTCGCTTGCAACTTTGCATTAATTTCATTATCACCAAAACCTTGAAATGCAGGCGGTTCACTCTTGTTGGTGTTAGACTGGTGGCAGCTAATAAAACCCCTTTGCTCTACTGACGTCTAACTCCTGGTTAGCTCAGTTGGTGGAGCGCTCCGCTGGAAATGGAGAGGTCCCTGGTTCAATACCAGGAACAGGCGGAGTTTCTTCGGTCGCACACCACTCACTTCACTGTGTTTGGTGGTGTGTGTTTGTCCTTTGTCCCCATTGTTCCCCTTCTCCATGGTTTATTATCGTCATTCTTGTCTAGCTCGCTTGCAACTTTGCATTAATTTCATTATCACCAAAACCTTAAAATGCAGGCGGTTCACTCTTGTTGGTGTTAGACTGGTGGAAGCTGATAAAACCCGTTTGCTCTACTGACGTCTAACGCCTGGTTAGCTCAGTTGGTGGAGCGCTCCGCTGGAAATGGAGAGGTCCCTGGGTCAATACCAGGAACAGGCGGAGTTTCTTCGGTCGCACACCACTCACTTCACGGTGTTTGGTGGTGTGTGTTTGTCCTTTTTCCCCATTGTTCCCCTTCTCGAGGGTTTATTATCGTCATTTTTGTCCAGCTCGCTTGCACCTTTGCATTAATTGCATTGTAGCGTTCCCGACTGTTCACACCGCGTACGGGTCAAGTACCGTACAAAACAGCCGAGAAACGTAACTAAAATATTTTACTTAGTCGAAAAAGTCTGAACTTGGGACCGGCGCTGATTAGCTCCCTAGCTCGTGAGTGTGGTCGTTCCTTCTCCGTTCGGGCCCCTCGTTTTTCTCGTGCCCGAGTTTTTCCTTCTGCTTTTCCAACCAATGGCCTCACGGTTTTCTCGGTGTTCATGAACTTCAGATGAACACGTCTGGTACGAGCCTTTGGCAGTCCCGCCGGTAACGCACGGCTATAGCATTATCAAAGAAAAGTACTTTGGCACTAACTTACGCCTTAGAGGAAAGCCGTACTAGGTTCAAGTTAGGCCCCCATGAGTGCCAAGCTTGTGTAAAGTTATGGCTTTCTATGGCGTGGCGCCTAGGCACGTGTCTCTCTCCCGCACATATGCTTGACTCACTGAGTTGTAGTATTGGCAGTGTTTGAGACTTCGAAATACGGTTTATATGATTGGAAATCTTCTGTTATTATTATTCATTTATTTATTTCTTGCCTACATTTCCCTGTGAGCATTACAGTAGAGAGGCATAAAAGAATACAAAATACAGCAACATCACAGAAGGTATAAAAAGCGGGAATACAAGATTATACAAAAAATAAAAGGCAACGTCACAATGATATTTAATTTAAAATTGAGGGAACATATAGCAGCTTTACTGATCAATCGGACAGCATGTTCTAGTGATTAACAGTATGAGAAAAAAAAAGAGTATTTTAACAAATTCTACACTATTTTGATTATTCTTTACTCGGTGAGAAATTTAGTGGGGTGCTAGGATATATTTATATTTGTCAATACCGCACTTGCTTTGTTCGGTGATTTTTAAACGTTTATAGTTTCATTGTTCGAAGCCAGACATTCTGCAAGCAAATTTTTGTGCGTACGTAGCTTACAACAGGCCTTGCGCCGCGCATTTTTCTATCCACACGTAGCCTGCTTGGAACTGCTATCAACGCAGCTCGTCAGTGTATATTTTCTATTTCTTTAATTTCATCGAACAAATAAGCTCACGAAAAGTTTATGGTGACTTTGCGATAGACCTTACACATTTCTAGCGACTGCATTCTATAGACTGCGGTTGAATGAATGTGTAAAAATATTATACGGATGCTGATAACAAGTGAATTGGATCGAAAATTAAGAGTGTTAAAATGTAAAAAAAAAAAAATTAACTCCATAAGTATTTATGTTTGTTTGCGAAGGATTCTTGTGACCAGTGAATGTTAAAATATACAGTGATGTGCCAAGTAAATCAGACGTAGCGTTGAAATTCAGTTACAAATACTTACGTTACTGGTCAAATATTAAATTTTCAGTCATATTCTAACGCATTCGTCGTAATATTTAATGTAAAAAACATAAATTGATTCCTTCACTATTTTTGTGGCATTGTCTATCAAATTACATGATTCGTTACTCTATTGCTTTTGATTAAAGTTAGTCACGTGTTTGGTTCATTTAAAAGGTCCGGCGTACCAATGGGGGGCCCTGCTGTATCCAACGAATTTGATAAGCTAAAATGGAACACATCAAACCGCTCTGTAAACGCTTAATTGCTGTCGAAGTTTATAACCACAGCATATGGCTGCCAAGTACTAAAAAAAAGTAACGTATGAGTAACGTTCCATAGTTTTTGGAGGTGGCGCTAACGGTATTTCGTTACATTTGGAGGACGGCCACGAATTTCGGTAACGCGATCATTTGTAAATGACTAACGAGTAACGCTAATTTCTTATTCAATGTCGGTAACGGGCCAAATACTGATGTGACGATACGAAGTGTTCGTCGTAGCTTCATTCGTGCATTTTGGAATTCCTCGTTGAATTTTGGACGCGATTCTTTTTTTTTTTTTTTGCTAAACACACATTTGACGTTTTTTAAAGCATAAAAAGGAGCATACCTGCTTTGTATAGGGTATCTCCCGCCTGTACTCGAGGTCCCTGAAAGAGTAAAATAGCAGTAGGAAATATAAGAAACCGTTATAATTACTACTATTTCTTAAATCAGTTTCGCTGCAGCAGGTCGTGAATGACTGTCACCAACCGGAAACAATTAAACTTGGTTTAATATCTCCACACAGTATGACACCGAAACAAAATCGTCTATAATGCCCGTTTTTCTAGTGAGTATGGTGCGAAGTTTCGAATAACGCACAACACCTTGATAGAGCTAGGCCAGTAAAGGCCGGTTCACACAGTTGCGTTCGGAGCGACCACTACGCTTACGAACGAATGCAACCGGTTGGAACGACGAGTTAAAATAGCGACGAAGCGACAAACGGTCGTTTCGTTCGTGTTCGTTCGCAACGGAAGGAGTTGAGCCGGGCTGAACTTTTTCGTTACGTTCGGGAACGACGGGAGCGACAGACCAATCACAGGCCGAGGAGAGCTCGATCGCGCGCGATGGATGCCGGTCGTGCCAGGCTCCTTCTATTTGCAAACATGGCGTCGGTGGTGATCGTCGACATGGACGGCGTCGTGAACGCTCATCGTTCCCCGTAAAAGCGCTATCCCTGACTGTGAATTTTCGTCGTGTGTCGTTATGATAACCCAGCACGTACTAGAAGGGAAGATCCACCTACTCGTGCGGCGATCTCGTGCGGCACTCTCAAGACAGCAGAAACGCCCGTACCGTCGTGTTTGTTTACTTCGACTACAGTGGTGCTTTTAAGCATTTGTGTCCGCGAACATCGCCCGGATTTCTTTTTTGGCGCATTTCATGCGTGTGCTCAAGTTCAAGGTATTACTGTTGCGTACCGTATAAAGGATGCGAGTTTTCACGCGTTTTCATCACCCGAGAAAGGTGATTAGTGTTAACAATCCTGAACGCTGGCAACGTCTATCTGATCACGAAATTATATTTCTGCGTTGCTATATCGCTGCTAAAATTATGTCGTCTTTTATGATCGTAGAAACGGCGTGTGGCGAGATTTGTACTGTTCACAAAGTCCTGATCGTGCAAGACGGCGTACTGCATCGTTTCCTTTTTTTTAATGCGCTACCCTGCAAGCGTATCCTGAAAAAGAAAAATAAAGTTTAGGTCATAGAAGACGGTCTGTCTCTTTTCTGTTACGCAAGTGAGTGGCAGCGCGTCCCCTTCTTCTTAGAGGCACCGCTGAAACAGCTGATGGCGGTGGAGAGGCGGTCGCCGTGCTGCCGACACGCTGCGCTTGTGGCTGTGGTTGCAGGAGTACGTGCGGCGCAGAGCGGTCGTTCCGGTCGCTCTGGTCACAACGGACGCAGTCGTGGATAAACGGTTCGTTGCAGATGTCAGAACCAGCCTTTACACAGTTATTGTAGGCGCACAGCAGATCTTCGTGACTGTTCGCCGTATCCGAAACCTCCGGCTGCTCCGGTGAGGAGTCTGAGAACCTCGCCACCTCTCGTCGGGCAGGAAACCGTCCGCCATGTTTGTAAGCGTATCTGGGTTGCTTACTATTGGCTAGGCGCAAGAGCTGAAGCTCGTTTCTCATTGGCTGCTACTTCGTACGGTTGCATGCGGTTGCACGTGTGTGTACACGTCGCGCACAGTTGTCGTTGAAGTCGCAGCGGTTGCATTCGTTCGTAAGCATAGTGGTCGCTCCGAACGCAACTGTGTGAACGGGCCTTAAGAATTTACGAATGCTGTAGCTACCCTTAAAAGCAGACCATGTCTAAACGAATACAAGGTGTCCAGAAAAACAAATGCAGTGTCATTTCTTCTTAAAATATAAACTGTGCCTCTCCGAACGCTTTATATCCGCCCAGATATTGGGCTAGCGGCCGCGACTAGATGTCAAAGTTTCAAAAATAATCCTTATTTTATTCAAGCTATAAATAATTTTCTGAAACTTTCAATGGAAAATGGATCTCTTTTTCCCGGCAGTTTGCGCCATTCAGCCCCATGTCTTCATGGGCTTCCTCGGCTATCATTTTCCCCTTGAAATTTTTTTTTTTTTTTTGAAGAAGAAACTTAGGTGTTTAATGGCACAGCGGCAAAATTTTTTGAAAATAGCTCATAAATGCTGAATGAAATAACTGTTCGCTCTGAAACTTTGACACCTGGTCTGGACTGCTGGCACTACATTTTTGGGTGGAGACTAATGAGTGTTCGTATCTCGCTCTCAGCTTGCTCGTGAAAAACTGCTATCAGCTCGGTCCCGCTCTCGTTGGAATGCCTTACGTAATGACCTGCGCCGCACCACCAATTATGCGCCGATTTTCGCTATTAGGAATGCGTAATTAAGCCAAATTGAGTGGCGAATTCGGTGGTGCATACCTCTGATCAGGGGCTGGTTTCCATAACTCTAAGAATGAAACAGCCTTGGACGGTCTGGCTGCGTCACAAACAATGATGATAAAAATGTAGCTTTCTGCAGATTTTACAACGTTAAAAAACACGCTCAATTTGGTCGCGTTTTAAAGCAGAAATGTATTTTTAACCGTGCCTCCTAATCCCAAAATGTTGTCCGTCCGTCGGTCCGTCTGTTCGTCCATGCATTTTCCACTAAATTGGCGTCAGATGACGTCATGTGACCTATACACTTTGGGGAAATTTTTGGGAGATGACCTATATACGTCAACTCAATTTCTCCGCTAAATATAGCGGACAAATTCACGTCTTGTGGAGAAACATAAATTCACTTTCCCCGCTAAATTTAGAGGAAAATTAACGTCACGTGATCTATTCACCAATTCAGTTACCCGCAACATTTAGCGAAAAAATGCACGTCCTGTTACGCAGACACACTTCAGTTTCCCCGCTGAATTTAGCCGAGGGAATCGACGTCACGTGACCCGACGTCATGTGACCGAAACGACCATTCAGTTTCTTAGCTAAATATAGCGGAAAACTATACGCCACTTGACACACCGATTGCCTCACCGATTCTCTAGAATGAATTTTATGCAGAATAAGACATTGAAGGTAAAGTTTGCTGCCAATTTTAAAGTTTGTGTTTCATATCGAAACGCAGCGCCGCGCCTGTGGTCCTGCTTGTTGTCGCCAAAGAGCGCAAATGTGCCGCTTGCCGCCTTCACCCGCCGTTATAAAGAAAATTTAGAACATTTTAAGTTAAAATATTTTCGCATTTATTTGGCTATTATTAGCCAAGATTTGAACTTTCTTTGCTCGCATCTAGATGTTTATCATGCATATCATGCATTTGTTATAACATTCACGACTCTTTTACAGCATGCATTTTCCAAAAGTAACAGTTGCTGCACCTACAAGACTTAGACACCAGAAAGCCTTGGCTCACTCTAATATATATTAAGATAATGCAAAAAAAGACCGTTTATACAAGGCATCTTTAAGGTCACGGGATCTAAACTGGTTACATTAAGAAATTCCTGAACGAGCTAACCTCCGAATTACACAAATCAAAGTATTTCTACCACAAAGAAATATTTAAAAAACGTCGATAAACAACGACCTGGCATTTCATTGAAAGAAAACATGAGACGGGAAAAATAAAAACCAGCTACATAACCAGCTCGCCTGCGTACTTTCCCTTCTTGCAATTCCTGACATTATGTGAAAAAAAAAAAAAAAGTTACCGAAGCTCTGAACCGCGGAACGGTTTCAAAACAAATAAGTGACATGGTTGCAAATGAGCAAACTGTTTCTAGAGCCCCTCTCGTGAAACGCTTTAATGAGTATTTTATAGACGTAATACCTAAACCACAAAGTGACAGTGTGCTGTCGTTTGTTCGCGAGATGAATGGCAGTTTTTATAAACCCTACAAAGAAGCAAGAAATATTGAACAATTTCCCTGGTCTAAAGTATACTAAGAGCTGTGACACTGATGAATTACAAACTAAACATATCATATTTGACTGATATATTATTGCACCATGCTTAGTACAAATATTTAACTTGTCTTGAGCTTTTGGAAAGTTTCCTCGAAATATCAAGCTCGCTAAGGTATCGTTTATTTAGAAAGGCGGGGTAAAAATGTGTTGGCCAATTATAGGTAAATACTGTTCTTCCCATTTTTTTCTGGGGGACTTGGGAAAATTATAATTAAGCACCTCGAAGACTTTTTTGCGAAAAACATTCTGTGCTAGCAGAGGTCCAGTTTGGCTTCCAGAAACCGAAATCTGCAGAGTCGAATTCGTTATTACAAAAATGAAGTATACTAGAAAAGATAGAAAAGCGACTTGTAACACATGCTGTATTTATCGACTTTGGTAAAGCTTTTGATTGTCTTAATCACACAACGTTACTTGCAAAGTTATATAAATATGGTATTCGTGGCGTGCCATTTTAACTGTTTAAATAATATCTAGAGACCTGCCAGCAAAGGGAAACGGTCGATGGTCACCCCTCACCGTTCTCAAGCATTGTTTGTGGCGTCCCACAGGGCAGCATCGTAAAACTTTTAATATTTAGTGCTTACATAAATGATGTCGTAAACATAACCTATCAAACTCAATTTATATGTATGCAGACGATACCAGTCTTCTTTTCTCCGGAAATAATGCTGATGAACTTATCAGAACGACAAACTTAGTTTTAAACGAATTTTTCTTACGGTCGGAAGTCAATGACTTAAAAGTCTGTTAATAAATTAGTTGGTATAACAAATCCTCTAAAACTCGGAACCGCGTCAATTGACTTTATGGGCCAACATAAAAATCTAAGCGTATACTTTTCTCAACACACGACATCGAACTACCATATTGAATATCTAACAAAGAAGCTTTCTCCTGTAATTGGGTTTGTCACTAGGTGCCATAAATTCCTACCCGTAATATAAATTAAAAATTTGTTACCTTGCTTAGTTTCCATTTTAATTATTGCCACCTGGTTTGGCGTAAAACTACCAAAACACACCTAAATAAAAGTGTGCAACTGAAAAAAAAATTAGGAGATGTAGCGGATGTACCGTATTATTATCATACGGAATGTTTATTTAACAAATACCAAGTAATTCACGTAGAACATTTTTTAGTATCGC